AATCATTAAGCAGATTGGTTAATTTCTGACTGCTGATGCGTGATCATGGTGATTTAAAATTATTTTTCTTCAAGTTGAATCTTGAATTGCTGAGGTGGGTATGAGTTTGCTCTAGTGAAGACAAAATTAGATAGCATTAAATAATTCACCTAAATTTTTGAAAAAACGTCAGCTATGAGAATGGAGGAGATTCATGTGGTTCGGAGCGGCAACGGCTATATTAGCGAGGTTACGGTTACAGGGGACAAACATTTGGAAAAGTAGCCTTACTTTGATATTCTTTTGAGAGTGTGATCCCTGGGTTGAAAGCAACTCCCTTTAAGATAAAGGTAGACTCATTATTCATTAAGCATCGAAAGTTACTTTAATGAGAGAATCAGGAACCGACAAGTTTTCCTTTTTTCTCTTTCTTGCTGCTGCACGTCAATTATACAGGAGCCGGCCGGTGTAGCGCGTCCACGCTACCCGGGTCCCATAATCACGAGCATCATGCATTCCTTCTGTACCACGTGTCATTTTTTTTTATCGTTTCGAAATATTTGTCATGTTTGATATTTTTAATTATTAGTCCAAACATCTATGCTACGCAAGTAGATCATGTTTTCAGAATAAATTATAATTGATGGAGGAATTTAAAAAAAAGTAAGAAATGTACCTAATTGTTCATATAATTTAGGATACATGAAAGTATAACTAAAAAATGAGATTTTGTAGCAATAGTTCAATATATGATAAAAACATCCCTATTATTTATAAACTACCACATTGATGGAAGTCAAATCCTGAAAAAAAAAAAAGTTGAAATCTATATCATAAATTGAGCGACATAAGGGTTCAATTCAATGTAACTGAATATTTAATTTGATAAGTAAATGAAATACTTACAAATATTTTGCTTTCGATTTGATAATTTTCTATGAAGGTTGGAACATTCTTCACACCAACCAATTCTAAGTACAAATGCCAGTATCGGGGGTTTAATTAATTCTGTTAAATTTTGTGGAATTCGTACTATAAATGAGAATGCACGATTTTTGCATGAATTAATGTGTTGGTCAAACGATATACCACCTTTTCCTAACAATTAAGAGCATACGGGAACTTTCTCTCTCATTCGAGAGCCTTTCTCTCTCTATGAGAGCTTTTTTCCCCCAATAGTGGGAGCCAAAAACTTTTCAACTTCTTCAAACTATTTCAAACTTCTTCTTCCCGAAAATCTCCGCATAAACAGAGACAATGCAACCAATCAGCAAGAACCTGTGCTCACTTCCAAACAAGAATACGAACGATCCTAGATACTTTTAATATAGGTATACTCCCAGACTTCAGGAGCTCGGACACATTAAAAGCTAGCATAGCTGGTGCTTGAAGGTCGGATTTTAACAACAAGGAAACAAGCAGCCATAAATGCCGTCCTACTTAACGCCAGGGTTCTCTGTTTAGGTTATCTCCTTTTTTTCCATATCTTGCATTTATTTTGCTGTTTTCTTCTTCTTTTTTTTTCTTTTTTTGGGTTTCTTTCTTTATATGTCTTCTAGGAAGGTATTTACCTAGAAGAAAAGTGCTGGTAAGATAACTAATCTGAACAAGCTTGGTTAGATCCTGTTCATCCACTCTTAGAATTGGGATTCCACAAAATAATCATATTCCTACGATGGCTGAAGAGTTGACTGAGATTTTGCAAAAATTTGCCCTAAACAACCAAGAGTGTAGTATCACTGATCTGGATGCAGGAGATGCCAATATAAGTAGGCAAGAATGTCAAACCAATTTGCTAGAAAGATTCGGAGGGACAAGATAGCCAACTATACAGGGGTTAAAAATTTTGTGGATAAAACTTGGGGCTACCCTAAAGACCTCAAAGTTACTGAGTTGGGTCCAAACTTCTTCCAATTCGGTATAAAAGGTGAAGAGACCAGAGAAAGGATAGGCAGTGGTGGTCCATGGATTTTGGATAACCGGATTCTTGTGCTGAGCAAATGGTATGAGGGGATAGAGGATGACCCTAATGCCTTCAAATTAGCACCATTGTGGATTCAGATGTGGAACCTTCCTATACACCGCATCTTAAAGGAGGTAGGAAAGAAAATAGGTGCAGTGTTTAGGGAAGTTAGAGAGGTAGTTATCCCACGATCTGGAGGTAAGGAAGGGAAGCATATAAAGGTACAGGTCATGGCTGACATCTCTCAATCTTTACTCCGTGGAACAACAATCAAAATGAATGGCACAGTGAGATGGATAAAGTTTAAATATGAAAGGTGTCCTGACTTTTGTTACACTTGTGGGATAATTGGTCACAGTGAAAAGGGATGTAAGACAAAGGTATCAGTGGGAACTGGCCAGCAGGAGAACCAATACGGGCCTTGGATGAGAGTAAATAATGGAAAATCTTCACCACAAAAGGAGCATAACAGCTACAGATCCCCTTCGAAAAGACAATATTGGGGAGTGGAAAAGGGGGAACTGGTGCGGAAAGATCCAAAGGAGTAGGAGTATGGAGCTGTTTCCACAGTCCAAAAGGGAAAGGAAAAAGAGGAAGGTTGTCTTGATGATGGAAACAAAATCAAGGAAAAAGTGCAATCTGTCCCAAGAAAAGTGACTGAGGAACACCACGTACAAGGCTTGGTCAACAGTGGAAAGGAGGGAAACAGTCATTCAAAGTCTGGTTGCATGGAGGAAATACTAATTGAGGAAGCCCAGGCAGCAGTTCAGATATCAAGCAAAAGTAAAATACTGGAGCTATTACAAGAAATGGAGAGATGTAAAAAACCAGAAATCCAAAGATCTAATGAAGGTGATGAGGTGATGGAGGACTCACAGGTGCAAGAACCAGACCAAATCCTAGAACCAACCAGTCAAGAAGAATGCAGTTACACAATTGTCCAGAGCGAAGCACAAAGGCAAACAGTAGCTCAAAGCAACACAAATCAGCAATTTGAAAATCATCAAAGGCAGGAAAGAAGAACAAGAAGAGCAGTAAGGAAACCAATAGGGAGGGAAAGGAAGGTCCTGCAACAAATTGATGGAAATTGTTTGAGCCAAACAGGAGTGGCCAAGAGGAAATTGGAACTGGAGGATGAAAACATGGAAGAAGCTGAGAACAAGAAACATTGGCAAAAAAAGAGAAAGGGAGAAGGTCAAGTAATGGAAATAGGACAAACTGAGGAAGGGGTGGGGGTCAGCTTGCACTGGCCTCCCAGTGATAAATGAAGGTAATGGTGTGGAATTGTCAAGGCGTCGGGAGCCCCTTGACAGTTTCCCATCTGAAGGAGTATAAGAAACTCCTCTCCCCAGATTTGATGTTTTATGTGAAACCAAAAATAGAAGACAATATATCAAAAAAATTCAAAGGATCCTAAACGATGAGCATAGTTACATAGTGGAAGCAATGGAGAGAGCAGGTGGAATGGTCTTATTCTGGAATATAGAAGTTAAAGTGGTGCAAGTGCAACATACAGCCTTTACTATAGAGGCACACATAGAGGATCAGATCAACAACTGTGACTGGTGGATGATTGGAATTTATGCAAGCTGTGATGATTCAATAAGAAGACAACAATGGTCAGTTATACAAAGAAGGAAACACTTATGGGGCAGCAATTGGATGATAGCAGGAGACTTCAATGACATATTCTCCAATGAGGAAAAATGGGGAGGTAGAACTAGAGAAGAGTGGACCTTCAATGACATTAGGACCTTCATCAATGAAAATCAGTTGGTAGACACAGGATATGAAGGACAACCTTGGACCTGGAACAATAATTGGGAGGGGAATGGTGAGATCAAAGAAAGATTAGATAGAACACTGAGCAGTGCACACTGGAACCAGAAATTTCACAAGGCAAAATGTACTTACATTACAACACATGCTTCTGATCATAGTGCTCTACTAGTCAATAACACTCCCACGGGAAGAAGTAGAAGGAAGAGATTTTTCTTTGACAAAAGATGGCTTCAAAAGGATGGAATCTCTGATGTGATCAAGGAAGCTTGGAACAAGAATGTGGAGGGGTCCAGAATGTTTCAGGTGAAGGTAAAGGTGAGGAACTGTAGAATAGATCTTCTGAAATGGAGCAACAGAATCAACAAGAATTCAAGGGAAAGGATTGAGAACATCAAGGAACAGCTGGACCAGATTAAAGAAGCATCAATGGAGAACAAGAGAAAGGAAAAGGTAACACTCAAAATGCAATTGAGGGAAGTATATAAGGATGAGGAAATGTTTTGGAGCCAAAAAGCTAGACTCAAATGGTTACAAGAAGGAGACAAAAATACTCAGTTCTTTCATGCACAAGTGAGTGGTAGGAGAAAGAGTAATAGAATGGAGAAACTTCAAAGGGATGATGGGAGCTAGACAGAAACTGAGGCAGACGTAGGAGCTGAAGTGGGGAACTATTACAGGCAACTCTTCACCAAATCAACTGAGAGTAGCAATCATGAGAGTTTAAAGGGAATCCCAAGGTCTATTTATGAAGATATGAACCAGGATCTAACTAAGCCTGTAACAGAAGAGGAAGTCAAAGCAGCATTTTTCTCTATGGAAAGCAACAAGGCTCCTGGCATAGATGGGATGTCACCCCTATTTTTCCAGAAATTCTGGGACATTGTCAAAGGAGACCTGGTAGCCATAAAAAGTTTCTTTTATTCTGGTAATATGCTTAAGGCTGTCAACCATACTATCATTTCTTTGATCCCCAAAGTCCCTTGCCCCACTAATATCAAGCAATACAGACCCATTAGTCTCTGTACTGTGATTTACAAAGCCATTGCTAAAATTCTTGTCAATAGGCTCAAACCTATTCTGAATCATTGCATTAGCATCAATCAATCTACATTCATTCTTGGGAGACATATTCTTGATAACATCAGCATTTCTCATGAATATGCATTATCTTAAAAATAAAAGGCAAGGTAAGGATAGATTTATGGCTGTGAAGCTTGACATGTCAAAGGTCTATGATAGAGTTGAATGGCACTATTTGCAAGCTATGATGAAATAAATGGGTTTCTGTGAAAAATGGATAAAGTGGATCATGAAATGCATTAGTACAGTATCCTTCTCATTTAACATTAATGGGGAATGCAAGGAATACATTGAAACAGAAAGGGGGATTAGACTGGGTGACACACTGTCATCGTACTTATTTCTCATTTGCTCAGAAGGCTTCTCCAATCTGTTAAGAAGAGCAACACAAGCAGGAAGGATGAATGGTATCAAGATCAGCAGACAAGGCCCCTCAGTAACCCATCTCTTTTTTGCTGATGACTCCCTGATCTTCTGCAGAGCTAACTCCCAAGAAGCAAAGGAGCTAAGAAGGATACTTGAACTGTATGAACAAGAATCTGGTCAAGTGGTTAACTTAGATAAGTCAAGTGTGTTTTTTAGCAAAAATGTGACTGAGGCAACTAAAGAAGGAGTTTGCGCAGAGCTAGGAAGCATACAACCAGTTTCACAAGGGAAGTACCTAGGATTGCCAATGGTGATAACAAGGACTAAAAAACAGCTGTTTGGTTACATTAAGGATAACATCAAAAGGAGGATGCAAAGCTGGAAAAACAAGCTGTTAAGCTCTGCTGGAAAAGAAATCCTGATCAAAGCAATTTCTATGACAATGCCTACTTACACAATGTTTTGTTTCAAATTACCTTGCAGGTTGTGCAAAGAGATAAGCTCCATGCTATCTAACTTTTGGTGGGGAGAAAAGGACAACAAGAACAAAGTTCATTGGATAGCCTGGAAGCAAATGACAAAGGAGAAGAAAAGAGGAGGCATGGGATTCCAGGAGATTCAAAGCTTTAATAGAGCTTTGCTGGCCAAATAGATACGGAGAATTATCAAAAATCCAAATCTATTATCCAGCAAAATTCTGAAGGGCAAGTACTTTCCAAAAGGTAACGTCCTGGAATGCAAAACTCCCAACAATGCTTCATGGTTTTGGCAAAGTATTATGAGTGACAAAGAAGATCTCCAATGGAGGATAAGGACAAGAATAGCGAATGGATGTTCAACTAGAATCTAGGAAGATCAAAGGATACCAAACCAATCCCAAGGGAAACCAATCACAGCCAAACCAGCAGATTGCCAAGTACACAAAGTTGCTGACCTGATTGAGGACTATAGATGGAACAGAAACCTCATCTTCAAAACTTTCAATGAGGAGGATCCTGAAAACATTCTCAAAATCCCCATCAGCATCACAGGAAGAGAAGACAACACTTTCTGGATGAGGAACCAAAATGGAGAATATACGGTGCAATCAGGTTACAAGTCAATAATGGCCAAGAAGGAACAAGAGGGAAGTGAAAGAATGCAAGGGGCTGAAACGAGCTGCAATCAGGCAAGACACCAGATGTGGAGGGTCCTATGGAGCTTAAACGTCAATCACAAAATTAAGATCTTCATCTGGAAAAGACTAAAAGATGTAGTGCCAGTCAAGGAACTAATATACAGAAGATTGATGAAGGGAGATCCAATATGCTCAGGATGTGGAGAGGATGTAGAAACTTTGGAACACATGCTGCTGGAATGCAACAGAGTGAAGGAAATTTGGAAATTAGCCCCAGTGCAATGGGATGGGATTCAAGATGTAACAAGGAATGTTGGCCTAATCAGCAACATCCCTCAGATCCCGGCTCGAAGCGACTAACCGCCCAGCCCGTGGCACCCAGGAGTGCAGCCCCTCATGCTGGCCGAGCGTGGTCCGGTGCTTTGCGCTGCCATTGTAGTTAAGGAAATAAAGTTGCGCCTTCGGTAACAGCTATAGCTTTTGGTGCAATGGTAAGCGCTTGATCCTGACAAGTGGTATCAGAGTGAGGTCGCGGGTTCGAGTCTCCCTGGCTGTTGCTGGGAGAGGGATTGTTGGCCTAATCAGCAACATCCCTCAGATCCTGGCTCGAAGGGACTAACCGCCCAGCCCGTGGCACCCAGGAGTGCAGCCCCTCATGCTGGCCGAGCGTGGTCCGGTGCTTTGCGCTGCCATTGTAGTTAAGGAAATAAAGTTGCGCCTTCGGTAACAGCTATAGCTTTTGGTGCAATGGTAAGCGCTTGATCCTGACAAGTGGTATCAGAGTGAGGTCGCGGGTTCGAGTCTCCCTGGCTGTTGCTGGGAGAGGGATTGTTGGCTTAATCAGCAACATCCCTCAGATCCCGGCTCGAAGGGACTAACCGCCCAGCCCGTGGCACCCAGGGGTGCAGCCCCTCATGCTGGCCGAGCGTGGTACGGTGCTTTGCGCTGCCATTGTGGTTAAGGAAATAAAGTTGCGCCTTCGCTAACAGTTATAGCTTTTGGTGCAATGGTAAGCGCTTGATCCTGACAAGGAACATCACTACCTGGTGGACAGCATTATCTGAAGCCAAACACAGAGTTCAAGGAATGGAGCATATAGCTCTTACAGCATATATCCTTTGGCAAATCTGGAAATGCAGAAACAACAGAAAATTCAACAACAAAGTACAGGAACCAATGCAGGTGATCAACAAAGCTTGGAATGCCTGGATGGAATTCAATAATGGAGTCAAAGAAGCTAGGAAATGTAGCATAAGTAAAACAACAGTACCACCACAAACGAATGGTCAAGAGGTTAGGCAAAATCTAGAAAATAGGCCAAGAGGAATGCATATCAGGATAGCAACTAGCTGGAACAAGGAAACAAAGTTCATTGGATATGGCATCATAGCAGCTAACAGTAGGGGACAGGATGTGATAGGATGGAAGATGAGAGAAAGAGCAAGTGAAAGCCAACTTCAACAAAGAGTTGAAGGTGTCAAATGGGCTCTGATCAAAGCAGCTGAGCAACGGTGGAGGCTGGTATGCATTGAAGTTCCAGGTAAAGACCTACTACAGCAAATTCAAGGAAGTAAAACAGCAAATATGTGGATAGCTACTCTGATAAATGACATCCGTGAACTGAGTACTATGTTTTACAAATGCTCCTTTTGTCTAGGAAAATATAATAGGAATGATCTGAGTTGCCTTTTTAGTGCTCAAGCTTTGAGCAATTATCATGATTTAGAGTGGGTTAATCCCAACCTACTATACTAGAAGCATATTGTAAAGCATCGAGCAAGTGCTCGTCTGTATATACTTTTGATCAATCAATACAATCCTATCGTTTCGACAAAAAAAAAAAGCATACGGAATTTAGAATTATCATTTGTTTTAGAAAGTTTATAAATAATATTGTATAAAAATATATACGTATAAATAATTTATACCTTCCCTTTTAAATCAGTATGATAAGAAGCATCACAACGAAATATGAATCGTGCATGCCTGTTTTGAAGAGCGAGGTATAGGTTACCACTGGAATCTCTAACTTGTATATTAATATTGTATTTCTTAAGAATAAATTGTGATATGCAATAAAAAATGTAATTAAAATTAAAGATATATGAAAATAATTACCTGACAATAGTGTCGACTACGTCATTACAATGGATATATATTATTTTTGAAAAATAAGATTGACATAGTTGTCCACAATTTTTGCATATGTTATGAAACATATTGTCTATGTTAGTGCTTTGAATGTAAGCAAGCATCCGAAAATATTTAACCTAAAATCATTCAAAAATGTATAGATTACAATTTTTAATTCAAAATAGTATGTAGATAATTGTTCATTAATTAATTAATTGAGAGAATTTTTATCGTATGTGTGACTGCAAATGTTTCCTCCTTTGCAATTTGGTGAGTTTGAAATTTAGGCGTTGGTGAAATATTTGTAGGCGGGCATGTTCCATGGTGAAATTAAGTTGAGGGTTAAGATTGATACCATAAGAAAGTTGAAAGAGATGGTAAATTGCGATTTTTGTAAAATTATGTTGTTATCTCTTATTGTTGGGCTGGCGAAGTTTTAATCGAAGTGAAATTGCTAATTGAAGGAGTATTAATTGAAGTGGGAAGGTGCGTGAAGGGAGGAGTGTTAGTTGAAGTGAAATTTTTATTTGATGGAAACGTGGTAGTATGCTTGAAACGTGGACATGATGTATTTTACAAAATAAATTAAATGTAAAATGCTAGAAAAATGGAATTGAGGGTGGGAAGGTGTGTGAAAATTTGTTGCTAAAAACCCCTTCTCAAATTTATATAGATATAGATTTTATATTTCGAAATTTCCCTTATGTCCTTCATTAATGATGCATAAAAACAAATATGATGGGATTGCTTTCTACTTTTTATTTTGGCCAATACATGATTAAGGGCAAAAGTGAAACAAAAAAAAAACTTTTTGGTGAAATATACTATACATAAAAAACACATCCCTAAACTTGATTAAATAAATGGGACGGAGAGAGTATACTGTAATAAGTAGTGTATGTGTTTGTCTAAAACTTACCACTCGTTTACTTGGGGGGTTTTGAGCATAATCAAAGGGTATGACCTTTAATGATAGTGACTAATAGTGTTTGGTACTCCACTATGGCAATGGAAGACATAAAATTCTTCAATCACCATTCCAGAGTAAATTGGGCACTTTTGCCTCTCATTAACCGCCCAACCAAAATAATAGGAAAAGAAACTCTCCAAAGATTTGTCTCTGTCGCTCTCTCCCTCTTCTACTCAGATTCCATCTCCATTACCCAACTCTCTTTCTTGTTTTACCCATTAGCTTGCACTCTTGTCTTACTCATCTAGTCTTCCACCAAAGTGGATCAAGCAATGGGAGCTTGAGAGATGTTATATTTATTTATTTTAGTTTGGGTGATTGTTGAGGGGATTCCGATATGGAATTTTACAAAATTGGATTAGATTTGGAAAAGGTGTAGGTGGGATGTTGCATATCCCAGTTGGTGTTGATGGTACTGGTTTTCATATTTATAGAACTTTGACCAATTTCAATTGAAAGTTTGCTTTTATTAAGTTTGATGGAGATGATTTGAAGAGTTTGAGAGAAATCCTTGAAGTTTGGGAAGTATGGGTGTGTGATTTTACAGAATAGGTGGAGACAGGAGGTGATTTTGCAGGATCCCGATCTAGTAGCAAGAAAAATTTTGAAGAAAAAAAAAGAAATTAATTTGTGGACTTAAACAAATTGGAAAATACTTAATAGATTTCCATTGCAATACAACTACCAAACAAGTGAAAAGGAATAGCCAAAACCTATTACCATTGAGGGCCTTATGATATTCATTGCCATTGTCAATCCAGAGTATTTACTAAACGGGTGGTTAGTGTTTGGATAGAGTATTATTGAAAATATTATTTGGAATAATTATTATAACACTTTTGTAATGTGACGTAAGTCAGATAAAACAGTAGTTAACAATATAAAAAGGTGGATTGAAAAATATATTTATAATGCTAGCGAAATATTATTTAGCAAAATTGAGCAATCCCAACACACTTTTTATTATAATTAGTGCTAAATGCACACTTGACATGTGTGTAATACAAATATATATAATATTTATGGTCATATATTTTATATAAAATTTTTATTACTAAAACAAGGTTAAATCTTTTAAAATTTTTTCATAAAATAATTTCATTTTTTTTCAACAAACGCATAAAATAATTTCATACCAATAGTTATAATGGTTAGGGATAACTATGTTGAAAACCTATGCTTAAATAGTTAAAAGTAAAATGGTCATGAGTGATTATCTAGACAATATGTGTATAGGAAACTAAAATAAAAGTAATTTTGCTAAAGGCAAAAATTGAAATTCATAAAATGACAATAAATGTTTACCCTAAACTCATTCCTCTCACTTTATTTATGGTACAGTTTTATGTTTAATTTTGTTGTAGTTTACTATAGTTGTTTTAAAAAAATATTTGCTAATATTTATACAAAGCACTCCATTTTTCCAAAATGC